AAAAGTCACACAGAATAAAACTTGTTTTATAGGATCTGTTAGCTAGAAATCTAAGACTTTAAGTCACATTTTGTCTTCACGGGAAAGAATTTAAACTGCCGCATAAGAAAGTAGCATGGCCAGTAAAACCAGCAATATCTGTAGATCAACGCCCAAACAGGCACCTGATAACTATCTGGAGAACAGCCTTTCTCATCACACTCAGCATTTCTCATCCCAGTAAAAATGGAAAATAATGACAGGGTGGGAGGAGAAATTAAACAATTTAAGAAACATCTAAAAGGGAGATTAATTTAAACTGGTCTGCTCATCCCTCAGGGTAAAATTTTTAAGAGCTCCAAAGTGATTTGAAATGCTTAAAATCGACTTAGAGCATAAACCTGCATGTGAGAGAGGAGAGAGAGGCGTTTGCCTTTTTAAACCTTTATTATATAAATACTAAAAACAAAAGGTGAAAATACCATAGTATGTGGCACTTCCAGGAGCCGAGCATTGCTAATGAAAATGCTCATATGACCAGAGATTGAAACCCTCTCCCCTCATTTAAGACTAGCCATCCATCTTCTACCTTGCAGAGTGCCTCCTTGGGCTCTTCGTTGGAAAGAGGCCTACCAGGTCTGGGTGAGGCTGCAGTAGATAGGCAGGAGGGCATCACAACTGAGGGGGTCAGGATCCAAGAGGAAAAGTTTGCAATTGAGGTGGAGGTCTCCCACCTGACACAGGAAAGCAAAAGCCACCCATTGTTAGGAAAAGTGCTCACAAGCAAAGAGCAGGTGCTGAAGGGCTTGCAGGAGGAAGGCAGCAGCCTTCTTTGCCAGTTGGTTAGGCCCTGATCTCCCTTGTTGGGGGAGTGGGTGAGGGACAGGTCACTGAGGCCAGTGGTGCCCATTCCAGGATAAGTCCATAAGGAAATTCTGGAGCCTTTTGATGATCATTGGCAGGTCCAGAATAGCACGCCTGTTCTACAGAGTAGCAGCTGCTGGGTTGTTGATGACCATGACTCTACTGCAGTAGGAGAGGCTGAGCAGGCACCAGTGCCATTGCTGTAGTTATGGCCTCAACCTCCTCACCAAGGCCTTCCCAGCTTTTTGCTAGATAGGTTAGTGGGCCTAGAAAAATGTCCAGGGCTTTGAAGCCATTGCAGCACCAGGACAGGTCTCTAGGCAGATCTGGGCCTGAGCATGGACCCT